AAAAAAAAAAAAAAAAAAAAAAAAAAAAAAAAAAAAAAAAAAAAAGAAATTATACCCAAAGAGTTGGACTGAACCAAAAATTTTAAATTTTTTTTTGTGGAAAAATGTAAGGTAAGTCAAAAAGGAGAAGATTGGGTATTTATAATGTTTTAAAAAAGATTGAAAGAAAAAAAAAAAATGATTTACGAAAAAAAAATAAATAAAAAAAATATTATTCGTTAAAAATTTTGAAAGTAATGAAGTAATATAAAATTTTTTAATATATACATGTAATATAAAAATTTTATATAAATAAGTATGAATAATAAGTGAGTAAATATATATATATATATATATAAATGTATGTATGTATGTATATATAAATAAATAAATAAAAAAATTTTTTAAGTTTAATGTATTGATCGACAATAATTTGATTTCGGGGGTAAAAAAAAAAAAAAAAAAATTTTGAGGGACCAAAATAATCAATTAAAAGTAAATAGAAAAATTAGGGTATAAGAAAAAAAATGGATATTAATATTAATAATTTTAATATTATTAAATTATAGGTTTAATAATAAATAATAAGTTGAAACTACCGAATATCAATCGAAATTTAATGGGAACAAAACAAATTTTATTCTTTTTTTTTCTCCTTTTATAGATAATACAAAAAAACTTACCGAAAATTATTAAAAATGATTAAAGTAATGTTATTTGTTATGCGGTATGGCATGTGTTATTAAAAAATAATGATATGAACACATGTAAAAAAGTGATGCATTATTATATACTATAAATATACTTTTATATAAAAAAGGGAGATTTTATGAATCATTATTCGTAAGTTAATGACGCGTTAAAGAATATAATAGGAGAATAATTAAAAAATGATAAGGGATTTTATAAATTTAGAAAAAAAAGGATAATAATTTAAATATTTTGATCGAATTCCAAAAAGAAGGAAAGAGAAAAGAAAAACATCGAGAAAAAACGATTTACCATTTAATAATTCTATTAATAAAAAAATATATATACATATATGTATATATATATATTTATATATATATATTATATATATATAAAAACAAACAAAGTTAATAGATGACTATCGTTAAAATATTTTTAGGGGGAGAATATAAAAAATCATAAAATCATAATAATAATAAACAATAATTCAATTGCTAATAAAAACTTTTCTCACACTTTTTTTAGAAATCATTATAACTAGTGAAAAAAAAAAGGTGACTAAATAAGGGAAAAATGATGAACATTTTATAAATTATACAAGTTATACGAGTAAATACGACAAAATTAAACGACGGGTAAATAATATAAACATAATATATATAATATATATTTATACTTTTGATGAAAAACTCTGACAATTTTTAATTAAAATGAAGAGTAAATGAAAGATTAATTAATTACAATATATGAAATGGGTTTAAAGTATTAATATTATATAAAGTATTAATAATATTAATGGTTATTTAGGTTTTTTTTATAAATTTTATTGATCGAATTTTGATCGAATATACGAATATACGAAAAGAATGAAGGTGAATATGGAATAAATTAAATGGTAAAAGTGGTAAAATGGTAAATGTGGTTTATCATTTGATCGAATCGAATATCATTGATTGAAGGGAATACGATAAATAATAGATATTCATAAAATTTTAATGATAGAAATTCCATAATAAAATAGTTTTATGGATATTCAAATGATAGAAATTCCATAGAATTAGTGTAAATTAATTTAATATTATTAGTAATGATATAGTAATAATGTATATATATATAATAATAATATAGTAATAATATAATAATAATATAGTAATAATATAGTAATAATATAGTAATAATATAGTAAAAAATATAGTAATAATATAGTAATAATAATATAGTAATAATAATATAGTAAAAAATATTTTTTTTTTTATTAATTCTATTATTATTGTTCCTATCATTTTTTCTTAATTCTTTTATTCTAAAAAAATTTTTTTATATTTTCGATTTTCAATATTAATATAAAACGATTCGTTATCTCATGTATATAATATATTAATTTATTAATTAAATTTAATTAGTTTGAGGTAATCATCACTTTAAAAAAATATCGTATGTTAGACTTGAAAATGTTTGTACTTTGGATTATCTATTCCTAGATCTTCTAGTGACATTAATACTAGTCTCTTAATAAGATGGTCAATTAACGGACCAAAGTTAATTTAAATGATCGATACATATGAAATACTAATTAAAGTACTAATCAACCTAATAATGTTATTTGTTTAATCTGCAAAGTTACGTTAATCAGAGATTTTTTCCGAATATTTTAATATTATTTCACTAGAAAAGAAGAATATTATTTGACATTGATTACCATAATAAAAATTCTAGTGATATTAGTGATTTTTTTATATATCATCCATTTTGGAAAATGGATGAGAAAAAGCCGAAAAGCCACAAATATTATGACATAAATAAAAATACTTTTTTGGGAAAAAATATGAATTTAAAATGAGAGAATATACAGTATGTATAGAATGAAAAAAAAAAAATGTATGATCACGGATGCCAAGGAATATACGCGTAACAATAACATTATTTTTAATATTAATTTTTTTTCGCTTTATAATAACATTTAATTAAAGAGTAAATCAAAGATTTCATTTAATATAAATGACAAGTTATGAAAAAAGTCAAGACTCGGCGATGATCCTTGGGAATTTATACTTTATTTGAAGTATGATTAAAACAATCCTTACCAAAAAGCGTATTTACGACCGATGGTTTTTTTTTTTTTCAAACTTTTCAAACAAGTTTTCATATCAAATGACCACCGAATTGAAACAATAAAAAACGCACGTTCAAATCAATTTTTAACCTTATTCGTA